GTTGGCTTGTGAGAATGGTGCATTTTCCTATTTTCTGTTCTTCAAAAAGTTGGAGTTCCCTTGCCAAAGCCCATATGGTAATTGCCATATTTCTTTTTGGGATCTGGCATTGCTCTCTTAAACTTGAATGAAAGGAAACACCTGACTTTTCTAGGCTTTTGTTTAAATGTCAGCGCCAACATGTATCTTTGTACTCTGCCTTTTCGCATATTTCAGTCAGTGCTAGATAAGCCTGGGTTATGCCCTTGGCCTGCCTTCATATTAAGGGTACTCAGAGAAATGAGTCCCTTCAGGACTTGTCCTGTACAAAGGTAGCTGTTGGCTTGCGCCTGGCATAGCGTTTTATTGCTTTGCTGTCTACATTGTGGAATGCAAGTCTGGGTTAGGATTGGAGAAAAATGCAAACCAGCATGTCGTTAAATGCCTTTCTCAAAGTACTGTTCAGGAAGGCTCATGAAAATGTTCCCTAACATACACAGACATCTGAGTATGCTTCTAAATAAAAATCAGCCAATGATTTCAGAAGTTGTCCTCAGCAGCACACCTTGTTCCCAGAAGCATAGAATTCCTTGATTTTTCTTTATGTGAAAACCTCATGGTTACCTGATCTAGGATCTGGATCCTAAAATTTAAATTCCAAGGAGAATTTGAAACAGATGATTGGTTGCATGAACATAGTGGTAGAGGCGTCAGTTTTCTCTTCTGCATCAGCCTCTGCCTCCCTGCTACTTCAGGTACCAGTCCTTCTAGGGCATTCAGGGCCCAAGCACATCTGCCCTAGCAGGGAGAGAGGACAAAGCTCTGGACTCTGGAATTCCAGCCAGAGACTGGAGTTCTGGTCCACGCTATCATTACCAAGCTTGCTGGGCTTCCTCTGCCTCATTTGTTAATATCATGTCAGCCACTGATCCGGAAGACTCCCTGAGCTCACGACTTGCTCTGTGTTACTCACAGGGTAAAGATGCTCCCTAGTACTTCACCCATGCAGAAAACCACCTGCGTGCAATAGAGGGTCTGATTCAACCTAGAGTAGACTAACCTTTTCTTGTATCACACTTGGCGGCTATGTTTCATAGGAAGTTGCTTGCTTTCCCCATAGCAGAACAAGCAGTGAATTCTCCCCTTCTCCCTTAAGGCTCCAAGTCCCTTCCCATGGCCCAAATGCTGCCTGCTAGCAGGGGGCCTTGTGTTTGAAACAAATGGCCCAGGTAGGACACGTGTAGAGACACAGTGGTGCTGGCGGAGGATGACGGCATCTTCTCTCGGGGTCCTGTAGTGAGTTCTCTTCAGGGAAGGAGCGCACAGCGGCAGCTGAGAGCTTCGGTGCCTCACCTGTGAACACCACCAGCATGCGCTGGAGAAATAGTCCAGCCACCTAGGAAAAAACACCAAACTCATTGCCATTGAGTCAATTCTGACTCATAGCGACTCTATAGGACAGAGTAGAACTGCCCCACAGGGTTTCCAAGGAGTAGCTGGTGGATTCGAACTGCTGACCTTTTGGTTAGCAGCCAATCTCTTAACCACTGTACCACCAGGGCTCCATGTCCAACCACCTAGAGGTCAGTAAAGGCTCAAAATCATTTTTACAAGTTGTTTTCTTAAAATTAGTGTTTTAATGACTAAATGTAAAGAAGCAGACCAACAAATTATGTTTAATGCAGAAAACTTAGAAAACAGAAAAGTAAAAATAAAAACAATCACATTATTCAAAGGTAAGTAGGAGTCCTTGAGTGGCATGAAAGGTTAAGCGAGATCTTGACTTCTGACGCGTCATGTATCATCATGTATCAACACTGAGGCTCTTACACTGTTCTAATTTAAAAGGAGTACAAAATTTTCAGTAAATGTTTTGTTAACTTAAAAAAAAAAAAAAGGTTAAGCGATCAACTACTAACTGTAAGGTTGGCACCTCTGAAGACAAGCCTGGCAATCTGGTTCCAAAAGGTCACAGCCTTGAAAACCCTATAGAGTAGTTCTATTTTGCAGACACGGGGTCCCACAATTCGTGGGGAATCAACTCAACCGCCGCTAACCACCACCAAACGTTGGTGTATATTCTTTTAATGTATTTTCTGTGCAGATACATATTCCCCCCCAAAATGATACTGTGCTGCTTTCTTCATCTAATGACATATGGAATTATATATTTCCTCGCCAGCAAAATATTCTTCACATGATTTGTTGATGGTGGCATAGTATTCAACCATCTAAATGTCTAGTATTGATAACAAATTCCCCCTTGGCAATTTTTAGGGCTTGTGAATAGTACAGTACAGAACCGTAATTTGAAAGGTTTGTGAATTAAGATTGATCTATTGTACAGAATGCTAATCTCTACATAGTCACGGTTGTTCTTCAGGACAGTTCTTGAACTTAAAAATAGGATCTAATTTCCTAAGGAATGCTTGTTGTTGTTGATAGGTGCCATAGAGTTGCTTCTGTCTCATAGTGACCCCATGTGACAGAGTAGAACTGTTGGCTGTAATCTTTATGGGAGCACATTGCCAGGTCTTTTCTCCCATGGAGCTGCTGGTGAGTTTGAACCACTGACCTTTTGGTTTGCAGCCGAGTGCCTAACCACTGCAACACTAAACCAAAACCAAACCTGTTGCCATAGAGTTGATTCCAACTCATAGCGACCTTATAGGATGGGGTAGAACTACCCCATAGGATTTCTAAGGCTGTAAATCTTCATGGAAGCAGATTGCCACATCTTTTTCCCTCGGATTGGCTGGTGGATACAAACAATCGACCTTTTGATTGGCAGCTGAGCGCTTGCTTAACTACTGCCCCAGCAGGACTCCTTAAAGGAATCTTGCAAACTTTAAGAAAAAAAGGGAAGCTTTACACTTTTTACTTGTGGTGTTCTGTGAACTCCTACTAATATATTTTAAGAATAAAAGTGGGTCTCAATGAAAACTAGTCTGGTAGATGAGTCAGAGCTGGCTGTTGGGGCATAAAGTGGCTTTTACCATGGAGACTCGTGGCCATCCTGTATTTAGACAGTCAGAGGGTCTCTCCCCTTGAGAATTAATTTCTCTCTGTTGCCCCAGGTGTATAAGCACCACAAGCACCTTGTGTTTCATTTATGGGGACCACCGGTTAAGGTTTTGGAAGTTAACAGCATCCGTCAGGGTTGGGATTACATATTTGTCCTTATGCTTTTGATACGAAGAAATCTCCTTAAAATAACATTGTACATTTGCTATTTAACCTCTTTATAACAAGATCCTAGTTAAATTTAAGTAGAAAACCCCTTCTTAAAGAATCCTTTTCACTAGGAAATTACTGAGCTAACTTTATCTAGCTGCAAACTAGGAAGTTTAAGTGTCTCTCTCGCCCACTTTTCTCCTTCCATCAAAACCCTTTAATGCCTATGGCTGTGAAACTGCCTACTTTTACGTAGTTCCCGTAGAAGGAGGACCAGATCATTGAAGTAGCATTTGTTTAAGATTAAATAGGTGTTTCTCAGCAAGTGCCAAGTGAGAGATCAGAAAGCCAGTGTCAAATGTAGGAAAAATAGCCCAACTTCAAAGGTTTGCTGAGAATAAATCTGTGGAAAACTGAATTGGTATTGCCTGCAGTGTACATGGAGCCCTGGTGGCACAGTGGTTAAGCGCTCGGGAACCCACAGCTGCTGGGAGGGGGAGAAAGATGTAACAGCCTGCTTCCATGTAAATGACCTTCATTGTTTTCGTTGCTTTATCCTTGACTTGATTAGCAACTAAAGCCAGGATAGTTACCATCTGTTTTTATTGGGGTTGATGAGATTTCTTTGCAAATTAATGGAGGTAATTGAACCTCAAATAGTTTTTAGTGTGATGATTTAAGCTGATTTGAAGACTTCTGACTTTCTGTTAATTTTGATCTTTTCTTTTCCCTCCCCTAACTTAATTTTTCTAGCTTAGCCATTCTTTCCCTTTGGGATCTTTTTTTTTCCCTTGGAAAACTCTTCTGTAATGGGATCCTGAGTTGTTTTAACCAAACTGAACAAGCCTATAACCTTGGAGATTGTTCTAAGGCCGGGATGGCAGAACTAGCTGCCTGTGGGTCTAGGAAGGTACAGTGAGCAGAGGATGGTGGGGCTCGCCACAGGAAAACTGGAGACCCTGTGGCCCATCTCAAGCAGCAGCAGTGCCTTTGCTCCATTGATTGTGACCATTTGAGATGGGGTCCAGTGTTACCAAATGATCTAGAAACCTGGTTTTCTTTTAATTTATTTATTTTTAAAATTTTTATGTTGGCACAAATTTTTTTAAAAAGGAAAGAAAATGCATGGATCAAACAAAACACATCCCATGGCCTACATTAGGCCCACAGATGACAAATTTGTAGCCTTTTGCTCTAAGGGATAAACTTTGCCTTTTCAGAAAGTAGCAATCTTAATTTAAGCAGGGTATTTGGGTACTGATTCGGCCTAATAGTGAGATAGCCTATTTTAATCACCTTTAACAAGGAAGTACTTATATGTAGCACATAGCTCTCTTTAATTACATGTTATAACTCTGTCCTGCTATTTTGTTATTTTCCTGGGTGCAGAGCAGACTTTTTCAGAAGAAAATGGGAGTTTTAGGCTAACAGATCTCCAGCCAAGTGTCTAATTAAATACCGTGTTTTCACACAAATAATGTAAGAATACCCCCTCCATGAGGTATTTTCATAAGTGCCACTATGCCATTTTTTCTTTTTTTACATGTTGCGGTAAAAAAATTAGGACAGCATGCTTACAAAAATACCTGGGGGGTGGGGGGAGGGCTTGACTGACAAACAAACATAGAAGCCGCCTGTTATATGCATAAAATATGATACTAATTTTTCAGATTTCTACATAGCAGTGCTTTCAATTGAACCTAGAAGGATCTATTAACACAGTGACTATTGAGTTTCAGAATTCTCGAGTGTATTAGCAACTTAAGGTTAAAAAATCTGAAAATTAATGTTGACTCCCCTTGGTTATTAGATGGTTATTCATATGTTTTCTGTTTCTTTCTTTAAAGATTTGAACATGGAATTCAATCCTTCAGACCATCCTCGGGCCAGCACAATATTCCTCAGTAAATCTCAGACGGATGGTAGGTTACTAATTTATTTATGTTTCTTAGAGAAAATTTAAGGAGACTCATGTTGGTAATTATCCTAAGTCTTGATTTTTAAGTAGATTTGATTTTCAAGGAGAAACAGAATTTCCTGTAATGTTCCCAGCATATTGTTCGGTGGTGGTTCCTTGGGGTTTTTTTGTTTTGTAATAAGTTTATGTTTTCAGAATCCCTTGTTTGAAGCAACTACCCTCATTTTGCCTATCACTTGGATTATTTCTGTATACATTCTATAAGAGGAGTTTTTACCCTGAAAGTCAGAAATTTTCCTTTAACAATTGATATTTGCATACATTCTCGAAAATCAAAAGTGTTAGTTTAGACAGTATGTGAAAACAAGCAAAACATAATCCTTAAATGAAAGCACCGTTAACTACCTCTGTTGTGTCATTTGAAAGCCAAATTGAACCAGTCCAGTAGGGGAAGATGTTTTCTTTTTTGCCAAACTTCTAATAACCAGAGTATTCTTATAGACTCTATAATCCTTGTGATTCATCCCTGGTGTATGGTGGGATTTCTCCCAGGGGTTTTTGTCTTTTCAGCTTCTGGCTTATCTCACTGTTCCCTGGCCTCTGGCTACAGGAGGAGATAAATGAACATAATACAACCGACAGCAAATCTTCTTAGTTGGATCTTGTAGAACAGTGTATTGTTGTAGTGATCTGAGTGTTACACTGCTGGAGTCCTGCATGATTCTATCTCTGGCGCTTGGCAAGTTACTAAAGCTCTAATTTAGAGAAGACCTAAATTGACTACAAGTAACCAAACATGTTCAAGAAACCAAGTTTATTTATAAGAATTGGTAATCCTTCAATAATGGTTAGGTAACAATTTTGGCAAGATATAATGCTGATATAATATTGGTGATCTTTAATTAAGCAGGCCACTGACTTGATTTGAAAGAATTTGGCACACTGATGAAAAATAAATATGTTCTCCAGAGTAAGAGTAAATCAGTATGAGCATCAAATACTTGTAAAGCAAAGTTTGAATATATTGGTTTGTGGATAACTTTATGGATGAAAATCAGCATGAATCCATTCCCCTAAATGTGGAGATTGATCGAGTCTCCACCTTCTCACCTCTCAATCATTTCTGATACCAGTCACCATGTGGTACTCTCTCTCTGACCCTAGCCCACACAAAGCTAGGGCAGATCTCACAGGTTACAAGGACATTGTCCTTTAGACTGCCAAGTAGGCAGAAGTCAGCTGCAATTTTGGGAGTCTACGTGGCACTTTCATCTACTGGCTGCTCCTTCTGTTGTGGGTTTGTTAATTCGCTGGAAGAAATCACAGAATTCACAGAAAGTACTGTATTTGTAATTATAGATTTATTATAGCAAAAGAATGCAAATCAGGGTCATCATAAGAAAGAGATACACAGCTGAGGTCTGAGAGGATTCCCACTGTGAAGCTTCCAAGTCTCAAAGAGGGCACTTATCTTCCTTTTGCCAGCCAGGAAGCTCTCTCAGCCTTAGGGTTCCAGGCTTTTATTGGCTAGTTCTGTATGGTAAGCTAAGTCATGTCTCCTGAGGCTAGTTGATAGTGGCCTCCCAGGTGAGTCTTTTCTGATTTGGGCAGCCCCAGCTTGCCAGCATGATCCTCAAATGTGGCCTGAAGGCCCAGACTGAGGCACCGTAATTACTCCAAGAGTTATGTCTCAGGAACCAGGGACAAAGGCCCCCTTCTTTGGGTAAAGCTAAATTCTTTACTCCGCAATTGGGTTCAGAAAAAATTTTTTCTCTCTTGGCTCAGTGAAGTGGGAAGCCATTGGAGGGGTAGTATACTACAAGGGAAGGAAAGTGGTGCTGGGGGTGAGCGTTTAGGACAATGAAAAATCAAAGTCCAAAACAAGTTTTTGCAGACATTTAATAATACTATTGTGAAAACAAGTTGTAAGGTAAATTCAGGGTACAGAGATCAACATCATTCAGAAAATGTTCATGGCTAGTAATCATAACAAGATTCACATGGAATTGCGTTAGAGCCTGTAAGTGGATGATACTTCTTGATTGATACGGTAAAAGGAAACTGACCTAAGAGAGGAATTGCTCCAGAAATGGATTGGGGAAGTATACTTCACCTGTCAACTTTGCTGTAGATCTCATTCCCTTTCTTCTTCTGGAACATTAGGGCATCAGTTACTCTGACCCTTTTGTTTTTTTAGTTTCTCTTTGAATATTGGATCTTTCTATTCAACATGAAACATACTTGAATCTTCCAGGTTAAAACCTGAAAAGGAAAAATAATAGCCTTTACCACCTCTACTCCTCTGCTTAATGAAAGCTTCTGCACCATCTTCCATTCACTTTTCAGCCCACTGTCATGGTCCTTCCGCCACCACCAGTCTGGAGTGTACACAGTAAGGTTACCCGAGGACATTTTGCCTCCCTTGCCTCTTGATCTCTCATTGTGGCCCTTGATGCCATTGACTATTACATGCTTCTTAAAACTCCTTCCATTTTGGCTTCCTATTTTTAAACAGACCAGTTTGCTGAAAATCAGTTCATCTACTGACCAATTGCTTTAAAGCTAGTTAAATAAGTTTTTATAAATTGGTAAATTTGATTACTTCAGTGAGTTAATTCTTCGGTAAATTGATTTTCAGAGAATTGACTATTTGGTGAATTGGCTTTTGGCAAACTGGCCCTGAGAAGTTTTGTCTGTAAACCCCTACTCAGACACCTTAATAAATTTTTCCATCCATTTTTTCGTGTTAATATTTTTCAGGGTTCCGTACTGGGTCTTCTTTTTGGTCTACGCAGAATTCCTCATGGCTTCCATGCCAATTGTATGTCTAGCTAGACTTTTCTTTGCAGTGTTCAAAATATATACATCTAGCTGCCTGCTGGACATCTTTATAATGAAGGCCTGCAGTTCCTCTAACTCAGTATGTTCCAAACAGTACTGATTAACTCTAATGAACTTCCCGTATTTCCTAGCCTGCCCAGTTCCCCACACTAGAAGAGGCTTTCAATTTTCCTAGCCTCTTCTCTCTCCTCATTTCTTTCATGAAGGCAGTGGTACTGGAGCCAATTGTGCACATCACTTCCTAGCTCCACGTTCTGTGACATCATGGTGGGAGCTTGAAATAGCCATCGTTTTCACCATGGAAATTGGCACATGTTATAAATTAGGGCATTCTTTTTTCCAGAGAGCTGTTAAACTTTTACCAGCACACTGCTGCATCCAGGTAATCCAAGATTTATTGATTTTTACTTTTTAAATATCCCTTGATCTCACTCTTGTTTCTCATTCCCATGTCCGCCTTAATTCGGATTCATAGTTTCTCACTCTGATGACTGCAGCAGCCCCTGGACTGGTCTCTCTGCCTTTGACCTCACTGCTGTCACTCTCCAGTCCTACCTCTACACCACTGCTAGGTGAAGGGACTTTCTGTAAATCAGGTCTGATTGTTACTTGCTTGCTTAAGCTTTTTTAATGACTCCCTATGTGCCTTACAATTAAATTCCAAACACCTTAAAAAAAAAAAAAAAAAGGTTACCATCCAGTCCATTCCACCTTAGCTACCATAGTATACAAGGCCTTTCATGATCTAACCTCTGCCTTCCTTCCTAGACTATTTCCTCTCTTTTTACACCTCTCTGTTTTAGCCATGGTGTCCTTAGGTGGCACAAACAGTTAAGTGCTTGGCTGCTAACTGAAAGGTTGGCAGTTCTAGTCAACCCAGAGCCACCTCAGAAGAAAGGTTTGGAGATCTACTTTTGAAAAATCAACCATTGAAAACCCTGTGGAGCACAGTTCTACTCTGATACACATGGGGTCATCAGGAGTCAAAATTGACTTGATGGCAACTTTTTTTATTTTTATGCTTTAACCATACTGAATCTGTTGCAATTCTCCAATTGTGCCACTTGACCTCATGCTCCTTTACATGTATCTGGGTTTCCCCTTCCATCTTCCACAAAGCTGATTCCTGCAGTCTTCAAGGCTCATTTTGGCTATCACTTCCTCCTTGGAAGTTCCCTTGACTCTCTGGCTGGGTTAAGTGGGTCTTTGGTGAGTTCTCGCAGTACGCTGTGTATGCTTTTCTCAGTCTGATCCAGATGAGGGGATTTAAAACTACTTCCTGTCTCTGTCGCCTTCTAGCTCCTAGAGGGAAAGGAACATGTAATACTGGACCGCGGTGTTCTCAGTGCCTTGTTTATTTAGTGCCTGGCACAGAATATGTGCTCAACCAAAATAGTTGAATGAAGGGAAAATGACAAAACCAGGAAGCATTCTTGACCTATGATAATTCTTCACTTGGATAAAATTATGTTTCTGTTGCACAAGACCCACACACTTCTAAGGGTGCTGGAGCCAGCTCATAATTGTAGGTCCAATTCTCACCACCCCTTTTTTTATTGGAAGAAATGTTGTAATCTGAGATTGTAAACCACAGAGCACCTTTTAGATTGTTTTCTTTGAATCTGATCATCTCTCCTCTCCTTCAGGTTGATGTACTCCTTCAGTAGTTTAGAATGCGTTTGTGGGTATGAGACCATTGCTGAGGTGAAGACAGTTATGTTAGGGCAGCTGCTACCTGGTTCCACTGTCAGGTAGTTGTTTTGTCTTTTCAGGTCTCCCTCATCTGCTGACCTCTCATTCTCTTTCCTTCCCTCGCGTTGCACACTCCCTCCAGCTCTCTATAGTCTGACAAACAAGCTCTCTGTCATGCTCCCCACTGGTCAACTGCTGATTAGGTTTAATTTGGATGGTATCTGCTTTAAGTCATTATGAGTTTCTTGACTGTTAAACTCTTTTTCCCTCTGGATATCTAAGGGATTTGGGGTGGGCATGGAACCTTTATCTCATTGTTTACAAAGAGATTGGAAACTCTCCCTCAACAAAATGATAATGGAGTGTTTGCTTAGTTGGACCTTCCAGCTGAATGAAGTTAGGGGTATTTTACCCAAACCAGAGTGAAAAATGTTCTAATGTTTGTTCGTACAAATGAGATATCATTGTAGA